TTAGCAAGTAAAGGGATACAGGAATGTTTATTTGCACCGAACCTCAGGCAACAGATTACCGTATTTTTGCACGTATAACCCGCCCCTGCATATAACCCGCACCCCCACTTTCAGCTCACCGAGAAAGAAAAAAAAAAATCCTCGCGTACTGCCTGCACATTTGATATACAGGACAGGCTGTACAAAAGCTACTGCTCAAGCAACATAGCACATATGTAGAAAGAAAAAGCTTTATTTAGCAAGCAGAATACGCTGTCTGCAAGGCCTGTCACAATTCACTCACTGTCGCTGCTGTGGCTAGAGCTATCACTTGACCCGCAGTCCTCACTATTATGCACAAGGTCATCTTCGGTTCTATCCATGTTGTTTGTGATGCAGCATTTCTTGAAACTTTTTCGCGCCATCTCACCTGGCATGGCCTTCCATGCCTCGACAATCCACTTGCAGAATAGGGCAATATCAGGCCTTCGGACTCGTCCTGTCGGCGTCAAGTCATAGCAGCCTTCGGCCATCCACTCGGCGTAATAGTGCTTGAAATGCGCTTTTAAGGGCTTGTTAAGCGACACATCTAGAGGCTGCAACATTGACGTCATTCCACCGGGTATAACAACTAAGTAGGTGCTGCTACGTGAAAGGCGGTCCTTCACTTCCTCAGTTGTGTGGCCGCGGAACGAGTCGAGAACGAGCATGGATGGACCTCTTTGCGAGCATCGCACCGGCCTTTTCTCCCATACAGTCTTGATCCAGTCTACGAACAAGTCACTGTTCATCCACGCATTCTTGTGTGCATGCACCACAACACCGGCAGGCAAATGAACCTTTGGTAGAGTTTTCCTTTTCAAGATGACGTACGGTCGCAGTTGCGTGCCGTCAGCGAAAGCACAAAGCAAGACTGTGATGCGCAGTTTCGTGTTCCCACCGGTCAGCACGCTCACCGAACTGCTGCCCGTCTTCTCACTCGTTGTGTCCAACGGCATTTCAAAATAAACTGCAGTTTCATCCGCATTGGCGATTTGCGAGAAAATGTAATTGCGCTGCTTTCGCAGGCCAATTACATATCTCTGGTACTTGAGCAGCTTCTCCTCATAAGAAGCCGGCAAGCGTTGACATATTGTAGTCCGCTGTCTGATTGCGAGCCCTTGCCGCTTCATAAAGCGGTGCAGCCATCCGCGGCTCGGACGAAACTTGCGAGGTAGGTCTAGCTCCTTCGAAAGTCGCCGCGCTTCCACTTGGGCCATCTCGGTTGATACGGCGTGACCCCTGCTTTTCGCATCTTCGATGAAGTTTACTAGCTCCGCCTCCAGCTCAGGGTAGGCACCGGTCTTGGGGCCACGAAATGACCTACGGTCGCGGTGCGCGGCTTATAGGCTCCCTTTCTTCTTCCTCCACAGTCGCACGCAGGACTCGTCCACATCGTGCCGTCTTCCCACTTCGCGATTTCCGAATTCCGCGGCGACGGCGATTATCTTAAGCTTTTGCTGTGCCGTGAAGGCCTGCCGCCGTACGCTACTCATGATGACAGAACAGATCGACTTAGGCTTGGCGAACGGGTCGAGATGTGGAGAACTAGCGGTATCAGCGAGGTAAAGAGTGCTCACACTCGGCGACAACTTGACAGCACTACCCCTCCTAGTACACTGTAACAGCACCCTGAAAACAACAAAACCGAAATGCATGCCTGCAACCGCGTCAAAAAGTAGTACATTAATTTACTGATAATATCCCTATAGGCACTATAACATCTCATTTGTTTTGCTGAAATAAATACTGATTTATTTATTATGGAACTTACTTTATTTATTATGGAACTTTTTTAGACAGCACCACCTTTTCAGCAAGCCCTTGCCAAAAGTGAACTTGGCGTCCGTGAGGTAGGGACATGTGGAGGGTCACTGAGCGGCCGCGAATGTCCAAAAAATATACTTGTGGTGTGACAGTGAGATTTTACACTGCACAATCGAATTGTCTCTCCCCAAATGTTTTTCTAAACGCTTCAACGATGCAAGCAAGCGAAACCAAAATCGGCCAAAAGCTGTCGTGCTACTTGCGGAGCAACACGAATTTGCGGAAACCGCCTCCGTAGCTTTCGCTACACTGTTAAGGGGCTTCACAGCACAACAAGCATTGCTGTGAAGCAGCACTATAGGAAAAACCCCGCGTATTATCCGCACCTCCACTTTGCTACTGAAATTTTTGGGTTTTTGGTGCGGGTTATACGCACGAAAATACGGTACTGTGTTTTGCATGCTTTAATCTCTTATCCTTGCTAGCGGCAGAAGGCACGTAATAAGCTGCCGTTTCGAAGCAACAACAGAGAAGCGTGAGTGAAAACAGTAAATTGAAGAGCACGCCTCTTTTCCCCGTCGGTTTCAGCAGCGCCATCCATGTACGACGCTATCTCGTTTTTGAGGCTTTTTGCCACGCGCTCGAGCGTTCGAGCTCATATTGCTCACGATAGTAATTTTACAGTATTTTGTGTAGCTTGCTCACACATTCCTTTTATTCTGCAATCCCAATCTTTAGATAAAACTACCTGGATAAAGCTCCTTGCTTTTCTGACTCTGATACTCCATCTCTACTCTCCTGAATGTCTAGAACTGCTCAGATCTCGTATGTCTGGTTTTTACGAGTGTGTCAGGTAGCTTAGTTATTTATACCCTCTGTGTTAAAGGGCCAGTAAACAACTCCAAGGTCAAAAAATTGTTCTAAAGAGAAATATGCACACCTTTACTTCGTGAAGATGCTACCACAAGACTTTTGTGAATATGTGCTACATTAGGAAGTTACAGAGGCTAGAACATCGCGTTCTAGGTGGCACGTGAAGTTGGCCCGATTTTTCAGGAGTTTCATTTTTTTGGGAGTGGACTGTCGCGCCATCTGGGAGCAGCAACACAAAACACAAATAATGTGCTTAATAGTGGGTGTGCTGATCAACAGGCCGCATGACAGTCTGCTCACTCCCAAAGACTGGGTCAGTGAAGTGTCCCGATTTCGATGCATGGAGCCTATGGGGAGTTTCAAAACTCATATGGTTGAAGGCTGAATAGGTCTGTCGTAGCTGTGGGTACTGCAGGTGAGAACAGGAACTGTCGTTGACTTCACTACTGTTTGCTGAGACCTGGTTTAGACTAATCGACGAGCTGTGTGCTGCGCCATCGCCGATTTGTCACTGCGCGTGCAAGGAGATTGATAAATGTAGGAAAGGACCGCGGGATTTGTTTCTCGAAATGGAGGCTCTGCGCGGCTCGCAGCTCTGTAATATTCAGAAAGCGTGATCGCTGCGGTCCACTCTACGATTTACCGAGCTTGTTTGGGGGGAGGGGGGGGGTGTAAAAAAAGAAGTCGGAGCCTGTTGACTGGCCCTTTAAATGCCCCAACTCGCCTAAAGACAAGTTCTAAACGACATCAGCTCTGGTGCTTGTAGACCGAATCATAACATAGATGGCAGCTATGGCATTCCAAGAAATTATGTCTCAACCATGGCTGAAAGCTGCTGGATTGAGGAACCCAGGTCACAGTGCCACCCCCTCCATTTCATTCCCACTTTTACAGTCACAGAAATTCCCATCATTATCAGGGAAAAGCCAGATTTCTTAAACAGTGATAGAAGAGACTTTTTACTTTTTGGAGCACACTTTGGAGCCGTCTTTCAAGCACCGATAGGTGTTTTTGGAGAGGAAAAACTGCTAGTTTAAAACAGCTATTGTTTTAGGACAGATACCAAATTTGCCATTCACCAATTTAAGTCCAAAGCATTGTCGAAGCATCTCATAAATATTAACACTTATAAATGAAATATATTTAACAGACAACTAGCCATGTAAATTCCAAGAAGCAAACAATTAAAAAGAAAGCTGGTTGTCAAAAATGTACTGTGAAATGAGGTATACAACTAAATACCTGAATTTGTGGCAGAAATAGAATCAAACCGGTAAATCACAGTGCCACAATGTTAGAAGTATTGTCAAATAAACAGTACACATAACCGGTGTAAGATAAATGCAATCCTGCTCATGTTCACATTTCACCACACACCGCCCTGCATGTCTAGCTAAAAAGAAGAAACAGCTAAATGAGCTATATATGGCTAGTGCGCCAATTCTTGTTGCATAAATGAAATCAGAGCCGATAATGCTGCCCACTAGTAACGCATATCACATAGATATAATAGTACACAGCTTCTTTTCAGTTTCTTTAGGAATTAGGAATTGGTAAAACAGTAAAAACCAAGTATTAAGTCTGAAACTATACCGCAAAAGTCAAACAACTATCTTTATGTGTAATTCAAGTTTGAATAATTCAACATGACGAAGGGTCTATTGAGAAGGACAGTGGGACATAATTCTCTAAATCGGCACGGTCAGAAAACAGCCTTCTACATTTTCAGGTGCGGAAACAGCAGCACACCTGTTTTGCACACTCAATACTCGCATGCTACAAGACAATTTTATCAAATACGTCACATACTATCGCCCCTTGTAACTCATTGAGCCCACAAGTCGGAATGTGCCAAACGTATTATTTCACCTTTATCGTACCTTCTTGCATTGTAACAAATACTGAAAAAAAAAATACCATAAAAAAGGGCACCGTCTGTCATACTATTGCCCCTTATAGCTCATTGAGCCCACAAGTCGGAGTGTGCTAAACACATTAATTTCACCTTTATCGTACCTTCTTGCAATGCAACAAATCCTGAAAAAAATATATCATAAAAAGAGTGCACCATCTTTATGTGCTACTCTTAAAAGACTGCCATGATAAATAGAGCCTAACAAGCCTCCCTTTTCAACAGTTTCATAACACCAGAAATACTAGACAACATCATTACATAGAAACAACACATGAACAGCACATTTCATACAATAATAGACGATCGACCCACGGTATTTTGTGTCTGTACTATGAACAAAGCTACACAATGGCAGTAAGCATGTTGTTCAAATTTCACTAGCCACTTGACAATCATGAAACCTGGGATATGCCGAGTCAGTACTTACAGCTTTGATAGTTTCCACTTTTTCAATAGTGATTGTTTTCACATTCCGCACCAGCGTAGAGGAACCCTGAAAACAATTTAGAGACATTAAGTACAATTGCTTTTCAGAAATCAGTGTTTGACCAAAAAAAATGTGTGCATGCACACTGTTCATACATAATAAGTAATGTTTGTTTCAATGAGGATATTCAACGCCATATGCACCCAGCCTAGTGCTCAACCTTCTCAGACTTCTAAAAAAAAACAAATCGATTTCATTATTTTGATAGGTCTTCCCACAAAGCATGTATTTTTAGCAAAAAAAAAATTGCTGCTTGCATAGTAATTACCACATTACATTACATGTGATGTTTTCGCATGCGCGCTCTATTCAACGAAGACAGCTTGTTTCATCGCGGTCATGTTCCTCACTAGTGCTCACGAGCTTTTACTCACAAGTACAGCAGGGAATGCACATACAAAAGTAATCAATTTATACATTATTCCTTTGTGCGACAGTGGGACACATATGTCCCACTTTTCCATCTGCAAAAAAAAAAAAAAAAAAATTTCTCCCACATCACATGTTGCAATTAGTGCAAGGCTAAGTCACTCATATCTTACCCAAGTCTTCGTAACCTCAAGGAAAATTATTGTACCATGCTTTCAAAGAGAAAATGAAGCATTACAATCACATTAACTTTCACTCAATTTTTTTAAGCACTGAAGCTTCTTAGACCCGCACTCCGCCGTCGCCACTATCAAAGCTCCCTGCACCAGGCAAGTGCGCCGAGCTAAACTCTCAACAGGAGTGCAGGCACAGCAGTAGATGGCTTGCACTGTACCATGGGCACTGCACACTCACTTGTTTAGTTGTTCGCGCCACAGAGCGCAGCAAACGCTCTCCCCACCCTATCGACTTCGTAAAAGCCAGCAGAGAGATCAGGCCTTAGTCATTTGCGTCCCATTTCAGAGGAGCTTCGTTCATCGGTTGTACCAGAGAAAAGTGCTGGTTTTTATGGTAGCTTCTGAATTTTCCTCTTTTTCAGCTTGATAGAACTTGCCAATCAAAATTTCCTCTTTTTCTGGTTTTTCAGAGGTGCAAATTTAGCTTCTCATTCTGCATGTTTGTAGATTCACACAATAACTCGACTAATACTAAATGCATCGAAACGATTCTTCTCCAAATAGCCCCGCTCATCTCTCAGCGCAAGTCCGGATATTGGGGCATGAAAATATTTTTTTCTTGATATCTTATACCTCTAGAAAGTTTGCACATGTTCAGGGACAACATATGTGCTCATTAATTTTGACAGCAAGAGCTAGGACAGCAAAATTAACAAAAAATGGTTGGTGCATGCAGTGAAGCGAGCTTTACAGTAACAGACCACAGTGCTACGACGGCTCACAAGAGGCTCAACTGCAGGAGTTTTTCTCGTGAAGCGAAGTCCACGCAACTTTCCTCTCCACAACATGAGAAGTGGCACTCAGCAGTGTCACCCCCACCCCCGGGCCATCTCATCCCAAATACCATTTGATGAAACCGCGAGGTGGTGCCTTCACAAGACAGTGGGAGAGTGTTTTCACACTTTTTGAATACCCCCAAGAGTTTTTTTTTTCAGCAAACTACTGACTTCATTCTGATAACTTTTTTTCAAACTATTTTTTGGTCTTAGATGTGACTACCCTCAGCTAAATTTTAAATAATCGGCTCAAAATGCAGAAAAACCTACAAAGGTTTATACGGAACACGACAGCAACAATAAAAACGTGTACATAGTGTCCATATAATTGTTATTGAAATTTAATAATGTAATGTACGAAAATCGTGGAAGCGGTCTCGCCCTTTTTCTGGAGACCTGCATTGTCTTCGCTTTAAATTTAGAGTTCATCAGTTGCAACTACACTTTTTACAGGTGATAAGTTTCCAACACTTCATGAACCACGTGTACAACATGAGCACTAAGCTTAGAGCCTACTAAAAGTTCGAGCTTGTCGGCTCCACTCTTATTTCCACTTACGCAATTGGAAACTAAAAAAAAAAAAAGGAGTGAAATCAGTTCATCGCGCACGATAATCGTGTGAGGCGAGGAAGAACAGGTGGGCCAGTGCATGGCAAAGCAGCACAGGAGACAATTCACCAACTGAAATTTCTCGTGTGTTGCACCAATCGAAAGTATGATCCCTAATCATGTCATGTGAACCATCGTTCTGGCGTTACAAAAAGCAAAAAAAAAAAACACGAAGGAACACAAAAAAAAGAACATACACGCTGAATTTCGCGATTTCAGACACAGTTTTGGGGTTCTTAAAAATACAGCGTGCAAACGCGGACACAAGAGAGAAGTCAGGAAACTACACATTCTGCTAACAAAAAAATCGCACAGCAGCGGAAAAGGTCGTCATAAAATATTAACACAGCTTTGCAATGGTGGCGCGAAGCCTGAATGATGTGTGGAGCTGGCCAGCATTTTTTGTCTTCAGTTTTCTGTTTTTTCCTGTCTTTTATTTTTATATTTTGGATTATTTCTTTCCTATCGCTTTCGTAATCTTTCTCTTTCAATTTTTCCTTTCTTTGTCTCTTGAAATTTTTTGCTTGCTTCCTTTTTTTTTTTTCAATTTTATACGTTGTATTGCCTGTGTTATGCAAAAGCGACAACAATATATATCTGAGTACGACAGCCCGAGCCCCTAAAGTATTCCGAACCTGCAATACTTACACAGTAAATTAGCGATAATTCAAAATCTGTTAATGCCTACTTTCGGTTAATTCAAACAAAATACAATTTCTTGGTTGGCCCTCTATTCTTTCAATGAATTAAAAAGCCTCTTAATTTAAACTCTATCATTCTGTTAATTCATACTTTTTGCAGTTCCATGTTAAAAATTACTGCCTGTTTCCCACTACTATTTAAAAATTTCCACGCTTGTTTAACCCTGTCTAAAAATAAAAAAATCATGTCAGGCCTTCAAAAAAGGCTTTGCTAGAAAACGAATGTTTGAAACGAAGCACACGCATGGTATACTGTGATGCTTCTCAACTGGTAGAGAGATTTGTGCTGAAGGCACATACAGCAAAGAAGTAGTTGGCAATCTATAATTTTCTTTAAAACCTCTGATCACATGTAAATGTCCAATAAACTTGTGCGCCTTAAACTTCTGCTTTCCGTCCGTTGCGTGCAGTTAGGGTTTGAAAACACTGAGAAAAATGTTTCATGAGATAAAATAAACTAACCATAAAGTCTGGTGTCACCTCACCCAGAGTTAAAGGTCCCTTCGATTTTGAAATAAGGAGAGTGTATATGCACATTCCCAGGCAAGAGGAGATACCTATCAATCAGCTGCAGAGGCGTAGAGTCGTGAAAGCTTTGCGGCATCGACATGACGTTACCGAAGGAGGACCGGAAACTGGGGCTGTGCTGGTCACTGAACTTAACCCAATCAACTGCGGCTTCAATCAACAGTCCGCTAGGGCTACACATCGATAATGGCTCCCCAGCTATAAAAATTTTCCAAGAACATGCTGGTAACTGTGCCCATAGCAGGAAGCACAAGGTGAGAGTACCATCGGAAGAGGTTGATTTGTGGTTGTGAGGTGCACGTGCTCAGCAATTTTCGTTTTCCCCCAATGAGCTGACCAAGAAAAAGGAACACAAACGAACATGATGGAAATTGTGACGCAACGCCAAGAAGATAGCGGCTTCAAAGGAGGTTGGCTTGTAGCGCTCTCTCCTATTCTTTCTCTTAATAGTCCAAGCGCATTCTGTACCTCTAATCTGAGCCGAAAGTTGGGAAAACTTCACAACATCAAAATGACGAAGCGGAAAAACCAGAAAGAGAGGCTGTGCTGCTGGCTGAGCTCCCACTAATCAGTAGCAGCTGGAATTAACAGTCCACTGCATGAACACTTTGAGAGGAACTGCACCGGCAAAAGTAATGCATTTTATGTCCTTACTTCCAGTTCCGGTGAAAATGAAAGACTACCGGCAGCGCAGCGCAATTATTGTGTGGCGACGATGACTGTGTGGTAACTCTCAGGATGATGGCAACGGCACGAGCAAAAACTGGCAGCGGCGGCACACAGCTCTACGTGGAAACGGCAGAAATGTTACTTAAAAAACTGTTAGAAAATAGTGTTTTTAAACAATGTTCTTCAACTTTCATGACTGATAAAGCACAGCTTGTTGGAATGACATATTGCAATTAGGTCGCTTTTTGTGTTTACACCAGCACGGAAAAAAGGAAGATCAATTGAATCTAAGACAAGTTTAAAATTTTGTGAGGTCTGCAGAGTCACTAGCACAATGCTTCAGAAAAAAATGCAAGGCTGGTAAACAGAATGTTGCAATTATGAAAAAATGTTCTCAATTGTTCTGCAAAGTGAATGCCATGCTGTCCTCACAGCTGCCGTCTCATCTGCCCCAGTCCAAGATGATGTATCCAATCATATTCCCAGATGTCTCGCTGTGTTCTTCCATTTATTAATTTCTGCATTAGGCAGCATTGAGGCCATTCAAATGTAATTAATAATTTCGATATTACGCAGCTAAGCCGCAGAATTGTATATAATCAACTGCATACAGTTACATAAAATCAACTGCACAGTTGAATAGTCTTGCAAATTAACAATTCCAAGTAAGCACCCCTACTCGAGTAAGCCCGCCTTCCCATGTCACAGCTAATTTGAAATTTTTCTGACATTCCACACCCAATGAAGCAGCACATCCACAGTGAGTTGCTTTTAAATCCTCCAACTCTACGTCGCTGCTCAATCTCTAAGCACCTGAAATTTGTCTTCAAAATTTCATTTTTTGGCACGCATAATGATCGCACCCCATGCTTAATCCAATACACCCAGGACGACTTTCAGAATGCCGTGAGCAAATGGCTTTCAAGATCTGTATTCCAAAATGGTACCTATCACGACAATGTAGACAGCGAATATAAGCCATCCAAGATCAGTGTTTATTACTAGGAGCTGTTGCATTTCTCTATCAAAGGTCTTTCCATGCCACACTTCCTGTGGTATAATCGCATTGTCCCCCCCTGCAGTGGTCTAGTAGCTAAAGAACTCTGCTGCTG